TCTCTCTCTCTCTCTCTCTCTCTCTCTCTCTCTCTCTCTCCCCTCCCACTGCCACCCACCCCTGGTTCCCTGTTCACTATCAGGTGATCAGAGCTTGCCAGCCTGGGGAAGGGACTGAGAGGTTGGCTCGCAGGCTTCAATAGGGTGATTGGGGCCTGAGGGCTAGGAGCAAGGCCTGTGTTGAGCGTCTGCCCCCTGTGGTCAGTGTGCATCATAGCGACTAGTCGTTCTGCCATTCGGTCAGTTTGTATATTACCCTTTTATTATATATATATATATTTAGAGAGGGAGAAGGAGAGAGATGGAAACATCTATGAGAGAGAACTACTGATCAGCTGTCTCCTGTACAGGCCCTCCTGGGGATCAAGCCCACAACCTGGGCATGCGGCCTGACTGGGAACTGAGCTGGTGACCTCTCAGTGTATGGGACAACACTCAACCAACCGAACCACATTGGTTGGGTTAGGCTCCTTTCTTGAGCTCATTCAGGGACCACTGATAGGTGGCATGGAGTGACTGACTGTTCTCCAAGCCCAAGCAGAGAGCAGGCATCACCAGTCCTTTCCTTCTGGGCCAAGAGCCTGCCAACCTCCCAAGAGGTCTAACTTGAGTGGAGATGAGACCTAATGTCATCCCTGAGCTGCAGGCTTTGCTGATCTAGTACCATTTGGAAGTGTAGGAGCTGCTCAGTTGTGGTATCTCTTATGTGAAGGGGAGAAATACTTGGCTTTGATGGCTTATGGGAGGGTATGTTCCATGTTGCAGCATAAGATCATTCTTAGTATCAATTTTAGCCTCTAAAACATAGATTGTGATGTCTCAGGGGAGAGGAAAAGGATAGCTTGGCTTGTATCTGGCTTTCATTTTATTGTTTTAAGGCCCTATACAAAGTATGGCCTGCAGATCAGCAGCAATGGCAACACCTAGATGTTTGTTAGAAATGAGGAATCTCAGGCCCCACTGAGACCCACTGAAACAGAACCTGCATTTTAACAAGATACCCAAGTGCACATTCATATTTGAGCACACCTACTCTAGACTTCAAGGATGCTAAAAGTATTTGGAAGTGTTCTCAGATTATGGGGGCAAAGGGTGAGCTCTGCCACAGGGAAGCAGGCCATGGGCTTGCCTTGGAGATGTCCTTGTAGGGAATCCTAAGACGAGAGAAGATATCCTCTAATAGAATATCTAGTTTCTAGTTTCATGTTAATCTTTTTTCTTCCCTGAACTTTAACAGAGTATTCTACAAACAGTTCAATTTAGGTTCAGCTGGATTTGAAAGGAATTTAACAAGGAAAGGCTATTTGTCTAAGTTAGGCCAAGAGAATCAAGTAGAGGTCATGGACCTGAAGCCTGATGGTGGCTGTTGTAGAGTCTGTGAGAGATCCACCCCTCTACTCCCCACAAAAAGTTGAATCTTATGAGATAAGAATTGGAATGCCAGTGGGGATTATCCTCCATTCTTTCCAAATCATGCTGAGTCTGGGTATTTTCTTGGGGAATGGTAGCAGTTTAGTGGAATTATAGCTGATAGATAACGGAACCTGCAGTTCTAATCCCAGTTTCTGGCTCTCTACTATTACAGGCCTTCCTCTAGGAAATACTACACTTTCCAAGCAGTCTGTTCAACTTATTTTGCTTCTGGCCTTGGGTTCTCTTTCAATAGAGAAGCTGCCTTTGAAGTGGGATTTGGGCTTTTAGACATATTTCTCACTATGAATTAATTACATTGTTTGCTGTAAGCCAGTCTTGGGCTGCTTAGATTTCAGAAATGTATCCCTCTTGAATGGATTGACCACAGAGAGTCCAGAGGCGCCAGACCCCAGAGGTCAAAGCACTAATGACTACCCATGTCCATTCCACACCCCACACCCTCTCACCTTCCCCACAGAGCCTAGAGCAGCAGTTCTCAACCTGTGGATCGAGATCCCTTTGGCGGTCGAATGACCCTTTCACAGGGGTCGCCTAAGACCATCCTGCATATCAGATACTTACATTATGATTCATAACAGTAGCAACATTACAGTTATGAAGTAGCAATGAAAATAATTTTATGGTTGGGTCACAACATGAAAAACTGTATTTAAAGGGCCAGAAGGTTGAGAACCACTAGCCTAGAGCTTTTTTCTCACCTTGGCAGCTCTTGGATACACCAGAGTCTGGTAGATAACAATTGGGCCTGGGGTTTTCACAGGGCATTCGTTGAACGAGTACCAGTTGTGGAAGCTGCTGCTGTTCTGTAGAGACTGGTTTTCTGCCCCTGCAGTCCAATAGGTGTAGAGGCCATCTGTGGTTTTGGCAGGTGCGGTGGACTGCGCTCGCCCATAGGCCTCCAGACCCGCCTTGACCTTCTCTCCCCCGGTGGTTTTGAAGGACAATAAGGAGGAGCTTCGCTGGTATATCTGCTGGTTGCCCAAGCTGTGGGTGCTGAAAGTGACCTTCCTGGCAATCATCATTTCTGAGTGCGTGGGATAGGGGGAGGGCAGGGAGTCCCCTGAGGAGCATACCTTCTTGGGTCCCATGGGGAAGAGCTCATGGATGGCACTGGAGAGCTCAGCAAAGTCCAAGGGCAGGCATTGCGAGGAGTGTAGCCGGAGCTGTGGGTCGGGCCTGTAGGTGCTCTGGATGCCGTCCTCGATCTGCTCCACCAGAATCTTGGCGGACTGCAGGAACGCCACTTGGCCTGTCTCCTTGAGAGCTTCCTTGGAGTAGGCGATCAGGCCGTTCATCTCATTCACTTTCGTGGATGTGACGTACACATATTTTTCAATCTCCTTCTGCCTGGACACTTCTAGATTCTCTACCTGCTCCATGATCAGTTTCTCCTTCTCCTGTAGGATGCTGCGTAGCTTGAGAAATCCATTTCTGATCTCTTTTCGCTTTGCCTCCTTGTTAGCTTTAAAGCTGCCTTTTAAAATGTTGAATTCCATAAGGTCATTATCAATTTCATATCGGACTGCAAAACAACCAAGTTAATAACTTCTGTTAAAGTTTTCATCTCCCCAGATGTCAAAGCCTGTAGTAAACTGGAGCAAACTACCTTGGACTCCGAGGAAGTGGGTGGGGGGGCAGGGAAGGCACTTGTAGGTTGGCTGAAACACACCAGAACGCACGTCATAAAATGATTTATAAAATGCACTTGGCCTTCCTCAGTATACTCCTCTCTTCCTCCTCCTCTAGTACTTCCCTCAGATATAACAGTCACCCTTCCCTGGCACACTTCTGTGTATAACAGTAATCCCTGTGGCCTTGAGTCTGAAGTTGGAAGTTTAAGGCCACCCTTGATGCGAATTTTCACCAGACTTCACTTGTCAGCAAATTGGACTTGAGAAGATGTGACAACAGGAAATGACTGATGTTCCCTGTGTGAAGGCTAAGCTTTTGCAGGGGTAGGAGGAAGGACTAAATTTCTGGTGACTACTAAATGTTGCCCTGCCTCATTCACCGAAAACGCAACCCTTGACAACAGGGCTGCTCTTTGACATGCCTTTTTTCTCTGCTGGGGGACTCTACTCTCTTGGATTCATCTGGGCTCCCTCTCTTGCCTTTCCCCCACTTCCTTCCAATAAAGGGTCTGCTGTTACACTTTAAGTAGAACCCAATCCATCCTGCATCCTCACACATGGTATTTGGATTTTAAGTTCATTTAGTCATTCAACAAACATTGACTGGACATCTGGTCCATGGCACATGCCTTCCTAGGCATTAGGATTACAGCTATGAATATGAGAGGGCATGGATGTGCAGGGCACTCATAAATCCAATGATACTGCAGCCCAGGAGAGCACGTAGCACGTCTCTATCTGTGAAATGGGCACCTTTGCTAGCTTTACAGGGACTTAGGCATTAGGTAGCAACTTGAAGACATGTGGCCTATTCCAAAGTAAGCTCCTTTCCATGAAGGGCCACCTCTGCAGTGACTTGAGCTACAGTCCTCACCAAATTGTACTCAGGAGTGGGGTGATCAAGTCTTTTTTGTACTTGGTTCTTAACATACTCATGGGTCCATAGTAAGCTGGACCTTTGTGGGTGGTGGTCATTGTCACAAAAACATGCATTTGAGTAAGAGAAACCCTGGAGTTCTGTCAGACCAGGAGGACAGGGCCCAAGGCTGTCATAGTTACTACTATGACCAGGGTGTGTAGAGGTGCTTGAAAGGTATTTGTTGAGTGAAAGCCATTATGTCCCATGTTCTAACATTTTTTGTGTGTGGGGCGGGGAGAGGCTATCAGCACTGTTACTCTCTGGCCTACGTCCTGAAGTCCCCATTTTCTTTGCCCACCTCCTGCCTCCCACTGGACCAGAAAGAATGAGGTGGTGAAGCAGATGGGGGCCGAACAGGAAACTGTCAGGGTGGGCTTGCAGTGGTGCTGAGGAATGCCCCTGCCCTCCCCAAATGCAAGCCCTACTGTGACTTATGGCAGCTGAAATTCCACTTTATGCATTAATTTATTTTACTATTCAGTAGTCACTCACTGTCAACGATACTTGGATAGGATACTTCTTGCTTTATTAGGGATTAAGCTCAAATAGAGCAAAGTCCTGAGAGGCAGGATAAAAATTTCATAGAGGAGGGAAAAGGGGCAGCGCCAGGAGAGGAGGAAGGAGGAGGCCAGAAGCACCCGTCCCCCTTACAAATATGACAGCTTTGCAAGAGCTGGTCTTAGAGAAAAGTTCCGTCAAGGTCTCTTTCAGGCAATATACTTAAATGTGGCTATTATTTAAAATTAAACATTTGTATGTGCCAGATGCACGCATTACACAAATTATGGATCCTGTCCATATATTATGATATATTACACATCTTTCTACCAGGAAGATATTGTTCCCATTTATAGATGAGGAATCGAAGGCTCAGGGAGGTTACGTGACTGTCCAGTGTCACACAGCAAGTAAGTGGGAGAAGTGAGAGCCTATCCCTAATTTTTGTCTAACTCCAAAGGCTGGGCTTTCTGTTGCTCCAGCGGTGGTTCTCAGCCCTCTGTGCGCCCGAGAATCAGGTCTCTTCTCTCGGCCTCACCTGCTGAGACTCTAAATTGGCCTAAGTTGGGGCTCAGGAATTCAGGGGAGGAAGTTTGCATCTAGGTTTCGAACTAATGAAGGGAATCTTCTGGGGATTCTGATAAAAATGCAGATTCCCATGTAGACGGGATGGGGTGATGTCTCCTCAGCTCCCGTGAGATGCTACTGCTGCTGGTCCTAGTTAGTAAGGCTCCCTGGGCAGTGCCAGTGTGTAGCTGGGGTGACACCACAGCTTCAAACACTCGACTTCTCTCCAGGGCCCTCCGATCACTGGCTTTTGAATTACCTGGAGATCTGTTTAAAATGCGTATTCATGGCATCTCCCCAGAAAGTGAATTGAGTCCTTAAAAAGAAGTTTGAACCTAGTGACAGAACACCTTAGAAAGGCTCACAGAACTTCGGGACACCATAGGATCAAACTCTCCATCTTTCAAAGGGGAAAATAGGGCCCAAGGACACGAAGGTTATATCTAGGATTATAGAATCTTCATGGATTTCTCGTGTGTCAGATTTTTCTCTCCTCTTTCTTTCTTCCCTTCCCTTCCCTTCACTTTCCTCTTCCTTCTTATTTTTTTTTATTTTATTTAATCCTCATAATCACACCATGAGGGAGGTATTACTATTTATCCCTATTTTATAGATGAGAAAACCAAGGCGCAGGATGGTTAACGGCTGGTGGTAGTTGCCAGGTATGGGCACCAAGCCAGTGACGCAGCCTAGTTCAGTGCTATTCTGGAGAGGAGGGGAGAGAGGGGGACCAGAACCTGCTTTGAACTTGGCAATGGCGCTGAAGAGTGCAGCGGACCTCTCAGAGCAGGCGTCGATGAGGCTGACCGTGTCGTGGCCGTTGTGTAAGGAGGCCTTGCAGAAGGTGCAGAGCAGCTGGTCGTCGTTGCGGCAGTACTCGATGATGCGGCTGGACGGGTGGTGGATGCAGATCTTCTCGTCCTGGTCGTCAGTGCTGGTGTCCACGAAGACGTGGTCCTGCATGGTCGCGTCCGAGTGAAAGGTCTTGAGGCAGTCGTTGCACAGGTTGAGACGGCAGGTAGTGCAGTGCTTGTAGGCGATGTGCCGGCCACGGCAGACCTGGCAGAGGATGGGCCCGGTGGAGCGGTCAAAGCGCCACTTGAGGTAGCCGTGTTCCTGCATGTAGCGCTTGGTGAGGCGCCCGTGCAGGTAGTTCTCGGGCAGCTGCATCTTGTGGCTGTAGGGCATGCAGTGTGAGCGGCTGCACACCGGGCAGACGATGATGAAGAAGTTCTCAGTGACCTCTGCGTGCTTCTGCAGCTGCCGCAGGCACTTCTCGCACAGGCTGTGGTTGCAGGGCAGCATGAATGAATGCAGGCGCAGCCGGTTGCACATGGGACACAAGAGATGGTCGACCAGGTGGCTTTTCCCCGACGTGGTCGGCTTTATCTCATCCAATTGCGAACTGCTGCTCCCGATGTGCAGGGCGGTTTTGGAGCTGAAAGGAGACGCAAACACAGGGAGGGCTTCAGAAGTCGGGCTCCAGGGCTTGCTTCATTTCTCCACCTTGGAAAGTGGCGGGGGGCTCCCAAGAGGCAGGCCCGCGGGATGGCGAGAAGCATGGGCTGGGTGCCAGGCTGTCAGGGTTCTAAACCTGCCTCCACTGTGTTTAAGTGGGGGGACCTCAGAAAAGTCAATGAACCTGTCTCTGCCCGTTTCCTCATTATAAAACTAGTACCCACACTAGGGGGTTTCTTGAGGGTTACAATTGATACCTGCAAGACCTGAGAGAAGCCCTGACCTCAGTAAGCACTTGTAGTTAAGTTTGAGCAAGAGAAAAGCCTTGGGAACTGGCCTGGCAATATCAGCCCACTCTGATGTTCTGTGGTCATAACAATATCCCAGAACACCAACACCAGGCAAGGCCTTTCTGGGACACTGATGAAACAAAGCACACACAAGACCACTTCATCATCTTTAAAGTCGGACAAGAGCCAGAACATTATCCAAACCGCACAAATACCAAACATCTCCTCTCCTGGTTAATGGGAGTGACTGCTGCTTTCTCACCAGTTGCAGCCTTAGGCTCTCTCTTCTTTCCACCTTCTAGACACGATTTATTAATATGCCCAACAGCAGATTCATCCCTGCACCCTCACTTAATGTGAACCTATAATAACTTATTGATGCCTTCTTATTGAGACACCTCACATTTAACCATGGTGCATGTTCTCACTTGTTGCCATGAAGTAATGAATCCAGTTTTGTCCAACTACAGGTGTGGTGTTGGTGGGTTTTGCCTGGAGGGCATTGACATCATTATTGTGTAGGACGGAACACAAAGAGGATGGGAAAAGTGTCCTTCCCGGGAGACCAGGAGGTCGGTGTTTGAGCGAAACCTAAAACCTGGTGTCTCGCCACTAGGCAAGTAAGAACCAAGGATCTGGGCGGATTGCACATGATAGAGTGCACTAGAGTAGAGGTACAATTTTGAGATGAGTTTCTTAACCTCTCTCATTCTCAGTTTCCTCATCTGTAAATTGAGGCTGGCAATACTACTTCTTTTGTGAGAATTTTACAAAGTCTGCATGAGCTAATCCATGATAAGTGCTTAACTGCTGGTACCTACTAAACAACATTCCATAGATGTGGCCACTGCAAGTAGCCAGATGTGGCCTCTGGTAGTAGCCAGCCAATGTCAACAGTAGAGAAAAGCAATGAGCAAAACCATGAAAGTATGTGTTTGTACTGTTTTTTTCTGTGTGTGTTTTATTTGTCTAATATCTGAGGCTGATTTCATGGACTATAAGAATTCTGAACAAAATAAAAGCATACTTGTAAAATTCAAGTGCAAATTGGGGAAAAGCAATTTATGAAAATAAATGAATTAGCTGTGGGGATGGAGGTATCATGCACAGATACACAGCTTGTGACTGTTTCTATTTCATTTCCTCTGTTTACATTAGAGATGTTTGGGTATTGATCCTGACATTGTGAGTGTGTTCTCTTCTGCTTTTGCCTTCTTGTCGTCCCCATAAGCCCCTATCTCCTTCCCCATTCCCTTGGCCAGGGACCTATATCTCAGATCCCAGACAATCGAAGTTGCTACTCAAGTATTCTGGAATGAATGGCCCTGTGGTGTCAGAGAGTGCCCCTGGTGGAGTCTCAGGCACCTGGAAAGCTCATCCCTTAGGATTTAGATGCTGGGCTCTAGGCACGCAGGCCTCAATATTCTCAGTCATGTTCCCTCTCTGCCTTCCCAGCTTCCTGCCTGGGTCCTTAAGGGGTCACCTGGAGGAACAGCTCCATTGTACACCTGTTAACTGCATGGACTCTCTAATTTGATAAGGTGGCTCTGAGAATCAAAATGTAATATAAAGGGAGACAGCATTGAAAATCAGAAAGAAGGGAGGGAAGGTGTTGTTGGGGTAAGAGAAAAGAGAGCGGAGCTAAGAGACAGGTGGTAAATGGTCCAGGGAGCTGGGGTGGAGGTGGAAAAGGAATGAGTAAGGCAGAGAAGGATGGATGGACCAGAATGGGGTGGGATGAGCAAGATGCTGAGCAGTAAGTAGTGGTGGCTCAGAAACCAGGAAAGAGGCCAGTGGAAGACAAACCTCCGTGCACCGAGAACCAATCTCCTGACACCTGTAATAGCAGCTCTGACTGTCTTCTGAAAGCCTCAGGCATAGACCTGCGTATTCAGGAGCAGGGATCTCATGCCAACACCATCATCTAGCCCAGCAGTCTTATCTTCTTATTGAGACACCCAGCCTCTGCTCCTCTGCATGGCTTTCTCCCTCTCCCAAATTCAGGCCTGTTCTTGCACCTGGTTCTCTTTGTATCACCTGACTTCCCTCCTTATACTGTCCAGGCCATTCTGCATTAAAGAATCACTGGGGGTGGAGTGGGAACTTTTAAAATGCTGATGCCCAGGTGGTACTCCAGACCAATAAAATCAGAATGTCTGGGGATGGGGGCCAGGCATCACTATTTTATAAAAAGACTAGAAGCCCAGGGCACGAAATTCATGCATGGGTAGAGTCCCTATGCCTGGCTGGGGCTCAGGGCCGATCGGGGCCTTCCGGCTGCCAGCTGGGGCCTTCCTTCTGGCTGCCGGTCAGGGCCTCCCTTCCCTGGCTGCTGGCTGTTGTCTGGAGCCTTCCTTCAGTCCGTGCTGCCCCCTGATGGTCAGTGCACATCATAGCGAGCAATCGAACTTCCAGTCGAACTCCTGCAGGGACACTTTGCATATTAGCCTTTTTTATATATAGATTCCTAGGCGATTCCAATGCAAAGCAAAGTTTGGGAGCTGCTGACCTAAGGCATCTTCCCAAAGCACCAGTGTCATCCCTCCTCTGCTGAAATGGGCTCAGGGACTCTCCTGGCCAATGCACAGAACATGGGGCAGTTGAGAGGAGAGAGAGGTGTGGACACACACCTTAGAACTTCTGCACCCACACTTCTGGGTTTGTTACTCATGCAAGGACCATAAGAAGACAACAAGCAGAGAGTAACGTTCGTTAAGCATCTACTAAGTGCTTATATGCAAGATGGATCGTATTCGTCCCCAAATTCACTGAACCTTTGCTCACAGATGTGCTTTTCTGACCTTGTAAGGTTTCAAACCTGCCTCTCCAAATCCTGTCATAGGGCCAAACTTTGAACTTATGCCTCTAAGAAGTCTGTCTCTGGCACTTCAGACTCCCCTCATGTATGACATAAAAAGACTGGTTTGGTTGGAGCAAGAGGAAGATATTCAGTGCCTGATACAGAGGCTTAATGTCCTCAAAGAGTGATTGTGACCCTCAGTGGCATGCCCTCTGGGTAGGAACAAAGAGAAGGCTGGCGGAATATACCACCATCTGGTCCTGTCTATAGGCCATGGGTCAGCAGCGCCCTGTGAAAGTGATTGCTTTTCTAATAAGCATTGCAGATGCCAAGAGTTCGGAGGAGGAAGAAGAAGAGCAATTTATCTTTCTATGTCACATGACAGATTACAAAGCACATGCATTCATCCTCATGCCCATGAGCCATGGCATGTATTCTCTCTGTTTTACAGCAGTGCATTTTAAAATTAAGAATACACAGACTCTGGGTTCAAATCCTGAGTGCATCTGGCTGGCTATATGATCCTGGGCAACTTAACCTCTCAGAGGCTCGCTTTCCTCAGACTTCTTAGAGGCTTGAGGTAGGGTGAGCACAGGACGAGGGTTACGTGGGGTACACAGGCAGTGCCTGGCAAGCTGCTTGAGCATGGAGTACTAGCTGTTTCTGTTTTGCACAGGTGACAGAGTGACGCTCAGGTGAGAGAGTGATGCTCAGGAGAGCATGATGCGCAGGCACACGATGGTGGAGCGTGGATTTGAAACTCAGGTCTCTATGTGGTCAAGAACTGTTTAGGACTCACTTAATTTTACAAAATTCTTGGTCTCCTTCTTTCAGACAGAGAAATGGACTTGGGGCAGGGACACTGGCCTGCCCTGTGGACTCCACAGCCAGCAGGGGGCCCCCAGTTTTCTGAGCCAGTGCGGCCCACCTGGGGTGCTCAGCACTTACGAAACGCGGATGGTCCTGAGGCGGCCCTTGTGGAACGTGAAGGTGACCTGGCGGCAGCAGCGGCTCTCATAGTAATAGCACTTGACGTTGCTGCTGGCCGAGCAGCAGCACTTGCAGTTGGGGTCATTGGCCCAGGAGCAGCAGCACCAGTGGCAGTTGGGGTTCTCGGCGCAGGTGCAGTGGCAGCACTGGCAGTTCCGCTCGTCCTTGTAAGGGCAGGGGAAGCAGGTGCAGTTCCGCTCGGAGGTGAAGAGGAACTTGCAGCACAGACAGGAGCATAAGCGAGGGCAGCACCTCTGCCATGTGCAGCAGGGAGAGCAAACACACATAGCCGTCTCCATGGCTCCTACAGTATTGCCACCTGCCCTCCTCTACCGGAATCCTGCTGTCAGCTCTCCTGGGATGGGCTCCTCCTCCCCCTTGGAGGTTGCAAGAGGTTGGCTGTTATGAGGACTTCTCAGGTCATGTCCCTACCAGGGAGCTCCTGGGCTGGCATTTACATATATCAGCCTGAGGCCATTTGCTTATGTCACAATCCCTGTCTCCCCAGCATCTCTCACCTGCTGGGTGGGTGAGAGGTTAGGATCTGGGGGTTAGGGTCAGGTGGGCTAATGGATACTCCCTGCTCCCATAGGACCAGCTCCAAGGAGTATGAAGGCATTGAGCATCCTTGGAGGGTTAGCTGTCATCTTTCAAGTTATGAGGCGGATTTCAGAAGCTATTTCTCTCTCCCTGCAACTCGGGCAAGTTGACTTTAGGATATGGCTTTATAGGCTGAAAGGCTTGGGTATGAGTAATTGGAAAAGTAGGCTGGTGTGATGGTCTTCTCCTTTTCTGCTTTGATAGAACTCTTTACTGGATGAACAAAGCCCGGTGTTTATAAATAATAGCACTGCCCATTGGGACGTAATTGCCAGTTGGAGAAAGAATTAAAGGGAAAAAAGGTGTAGGTTCACTTAGGCACTTCTTTCAGTGCTCAGTGGGTTTGTCATTTGCTGTACAGTCGCTGCTGATTTTCATGAGGCGTCGTGCATAAATCGCTCTGGATATTTCTTGGCTTTGCAGCTTCATGGGATTTGGCTAAGACTCCATCTGCTTCCTCCCTTCGACTCCCACCCCTACTTTTACAAGAGGTGGAATTCTACATGAGAATCTTTAACTCTTCTGTTAGTATCTGCTCCTTATCTCTAGAAATGACCTCCTATGTTCGGGGAGAACCTTCCATTTTATGCAGCTTGTAAAGATTAAAAGAGCAGAGATTCCATGGTCATATCACCCTGTGGCATAAACACTGTCTTATTATTTTTACAAAAAGAAGCAGAAGTGAGAGCTGAATTGGCTGCAGGAGCTAATTGCATAAGTTATTGTTTCCCCCTATGATTATCATCTTTGTAATAGGAAGAACATTCACTGGGTACTAACTGTGCCAGCCACACATTGATTTTAGATTCCTACAAATGAAAACCCTGCATCATAGGCTGGATGTTGTATTTCATTTTTTTTGATAAATACTATTAAATCACTTACTTAAATGAATGTATCAGTTTATACCGACACCAACAATGTATGAGAGATATCGTTGCCCCTTCGTGCTTTCCCAGGCTCAGTTTAACCTATTCTTCTCTATTCTCCAGGCCAGAGTTTGAGCTTCACTCCTGAATTTATAGTACATTTTCATCATTGATCTGTGCAAGGCTCCCTCTTGTTTTTTGTTTTTAAAATTTTATTGAGATATAATTTATTTACCATTAAACTCACCATTTTAATTGAACAATTCAGTAGTTTTAAGTGTATGCACAAGATTGTGCAACTAAAACCACTGTCAAATTCCAGAACATTTTCATCACCCCCAAAAGACACCCTGAACCCATTAGCCATCACTCCCTGGCCACCATTAAACTACTTTCTATATCTGTGGACTTGCTTATGTGGGGCTTTTCATATAAATGGAATCCATTATAAATTAATGGACACTGGGTTGCTTCCACTTCTTGGCTATTATGAATAATGTTGCTGTGAACATTTGTGTACGAGGTTTTATAGACCATATATTTTCAACTCTCTTGAGTATACTAGGCGTAAAATGGTTGGGTCTTATGGTAATTTTGTTTAACTTTCTGAAGAAATGTCAAACTGTTTCCCAAACAGCTGCACCATTTCTATTTTTACATTCTCACCAGCAGTGTATGACAGTTATAATTTCTCCACATCCTGACCAGAACTTGTTACTTTTGAAAAAAAATATTTTTATTGATTTTAGAGAGAGAAGAAGGGAGAGGCATAGAGAGATAAAAATATCATCAAGAGAGAAAGAGACATCAATCAGCTACCTCCTGCATGCCCCCTACTCGGGATTGAGCCTTGCAATCTGGGCATGTGCCCTGACTAGGAATTGAACCTGGGTCCTCTTGGTTCATGGAATGATACTTAACCACTGAGCCACATTGGCTGGGCCTTGTTATTTTTCTTTAGTTGGTCAAAGGGGGATAGCAATGCCTGTTTCTCAGAGTTATGGTGACGACGGAATGAAATGGTATCTGTATCTGTGCGTGAACTGCTTATAGTAATAATAATAATAATTATTATTATTATTATTGCCATTAGAATGGGTATGAGGTAGGATCTCACTGTGGTTTAGATTTGAATTTCCCTGATGGTTAATGACAACTGAGAAACTTTTCATGTGCTTATTGGCCATTGGTATATTTTCTTTGGAGAAATGTCTATTCAACTTCTTTGTCCAGTTTATAATTGAGTTGTCTTTTTTATTGTTGAGTTGTAAGAGTTCTTTGTATAATAGAGATATTATACCTTATCAAGTGTATAATTTGTAAACATGTTTTCTTTCTGTGGTTTGTATTTTTACTTTTTTAGATAGTGCCCTTTGAAGCCCAAAAGTTTTAATTTTAATGAAGTCTAATTTATCTATATTTTTGTTGTTATTGCTTACTCTTTTGGTGTCATTTTAGAAATATTTGCCTAACTCAAAATCATGGAGATTTATACTATTCTTTATAGTTTGAGCAAATACTCTTAGATCTTTGATCTATTTTGAATTAATTTTTATATTTGATATAAGAAACTCAATTGACAGTAGGTATATGGTTTATTATTGGACTCCCTAATCCTTTGATCTTTAAGTCTATCCTTATGCCAATTATACTGTTTTGATTACTACAGCTTTGTAGTAAGTTTTGAAATAGGAAGTATGTTTTCCACTTTTTTCTTCTTTTAAAGATTGTCTTGGATATTCTGAGTCCCTTGTATTTTAATATAAATTTTAGAGTCGGCTCTTCATTTGTGCACAAAGTCCGTTATAATATTGACAGGGATTTCATTTAATGTGTAGATCAATCTGGGAAATATTGTCATCTTAACAATATTAAGTTTTCCAATCCATAAATACAAGCTGTCCTTCCATTTATTTAGGCCATTTAAATTTTCTCTCGATAATGTTTTTTTTCAGTGTACAAGTCTTACACTTCCATGGTTAAATTTATTCCTAAGTATATTTTCTTTTGATACTACTATAAATGGTATTATTTTCTTAATTTTATGTTTGAATTATTCTTTGTTAGTGTGTATAAACACAATAGATTTATCTATATTGGCCATGTATCCCACGGCATGATGAACTCATTATTAGCTCTAATCTTTTTGTTAATTTTAAAGGATTTTTAATATATAACTTTATGTCATCTCTGAATAGAGATACTTTTGCATGCTTTTTTTTTTGGATATTGCACCAAAAGCACTGGCAACAAAAGCAAAAACACAAGTGGGATTATATCACTAAAAGGCTTCTGTATAGCAAAAGAAACAATACAGAGGCAATCAATGGGATGGGAGAAATATTTGAAAGACATATATCTAATAAAGGGTTAATTTCTAAGATATATGAAGTCCTTTCCGGGCAAACTGGGCATCAGTGAGTGTATATCTGATTCACAGTGGTACTACTGTTTAGATCAGTGGTTCTCAACCTTCCTAATGCCTCGACTCTTTAATACAGTTCCTCATGTTGTGGTGACCCCAACCATAAAATTATTTTCGTTGCTACTTCATAACTGTAATTTTGCTACTGTTATGAATCGTAATGTAAATATCTGATATGCAGGATTTATTTTCATTGTTACAAATTGAACATAATTAAAGCATAGTGATTAATCACAAAAACAATATGTAATTAATAAGTCAAGACATAATCCAATTAAAAATTGGCAAAATAACCTGAATTAGACATTTTCCAAAGAAGATATACAAATGGCCAACAGGTATATAAAAAGGTACTCCACACCACTAGTCATCAGAAAAATGCAACTCAAATCCACAGTAAAATATCACCTCTCATCAGTTAGAATGGCTGTTATAAAAACAATAAGAACAGGAGACAACAAGTTGTTGAGGGTGTAGAGAAAAGGGACCACTTGTACTATGGGATTTAGTCCCTTTGGGAAATAGTATGGAGGGTCCTCAAAAATTTAAAAATAGATTATCCTATGATCCAGAAATCTTGCTTCTGGATTTATAGCTGAAAAAAATGAAATCGGTATTTTAAAGAGATATCTGCACTCCCATATTAATTGCAGCATTATTCGCAATAGTCAAGATATGGAAACAATTTAAGTGTGCATCGATGGATGAATAAAGAAAATGTGACACACACACACACACACACACACACACACCACACACACACACACACACACACACACACACACACACACACACACACACACACACACACACACACACACACACACACACTCTCCAGCCATTAAAAATAAGGAAATCCTGTTGTTTGTGACAAAATGGATGAACCTGGAGGACCCTATGCCAAGGGAAATAAGAGAAAAAACAATTACTGTATGATCCCACTTTTACATGGAATTTAATAAGAAAAGAAGTCATACTAATAGAAACAATAGAATGGTGGTTTCCAGGAGTTGGGGGGCAGGGTTGGGAGTTGAACTGATGTTGGTCAGGACTTATAACCTTTCATTTATAGGATGTATACGTTCTGGGGATCTATGTACAGCATCGTGACTATAGATAATATTGTATTGTTTACTTGAAGTTTGCTAACACACACACACACAAAATTATTTGTCAATTATACCTCAATAAGGCTGGTGAAAATAAACATAAAAAAATCAGTGACAATATTTAAAAACAAAACTTACATTGGTGTATCTCTCTCCTCTCTCTCTCCCTCCCCCTTTCTTCCTCTCTAAAATCAATGAAGTCACATTTTTAAAAAACCATAAACAGCCCTGACCGGTTTGGCTCAGTGGATAGAGCATTGGCCTGTGGACTGAAAGGTCCCAGGTTCGATTCCAGTCAAGGGCATGTACCTTGGTTGCGGGTACATCCCCAGTGGGAGGTGTGCAGGGGGCAGCTGATCAATGTTTTTCCCTCATCGATGTTTCTAACTATCCCTCTCCCTTCCACACTGTAAAAAAAATCAATACAATATATTAAAAAAACAAAACCATAAACAAAAAACAATACT